TTGAGGAGAGAACCATGTCTGTAGCTTTCCATAATCCCTGACCTGGGGCGGTGTGTTCTGTGTTGTACTGCTGCTACTGCTATGGCTGTGTAAGCTGCTTGTTCCTTGTCTTTTTCATTTCTACTGCTAATCTTGTGTTGCCTTAATGTTCCTGCTCTAGACCACACTGACAGAAAGCAAAGGAAATTCATAGACAACCTCACTGTCTTATGTAATGATTGAATATTTATCAGCTTTTTGAAATAAATGCATATATAAATACATTACGAGATAAATTAAAATTTAAACAACTGCTACTACTAATGAATACATTTTCCTTCTATATTTCCAGCAAGTATAAAATGATAATTTAATGAGTTTGAGAACAAAGATACTAGTGCATTTTTCTAACCATTAAAAGTGCATTATGTAACTTTTCTAGTTTGTCACCTGCTGGTCTCATGGGGATGTTATAACTTTGTCTATTATTGATTAAATTACTGGTATTTTTATTGTGCAAAATAACCATCACCTTGTCACTACTAATCAGATCTGTAACTTGGCCTTGTGCTGCCACCTACTTGTCTCCATGGTGATACATAAATGTAATGCTATATAATGGAACATTGTAGGCAAAGCAATAAACGTTTCATGGTGACTAGTAGCTAGATCGACCCTCCACCAAGTTGCACAGTGCACCTTTAACATTCTTTTTTAAAAAATGGTGTGGCTTTTTTGTGCAAAGCTCTATCAGAAGCCAGTCTCCTGCTATAGGGGCCAAAAGTCCCAATTTTCGCCCCCTCATTCTGTTTATTGGTGCAGTATGTGACCAAGAGCAGCATGAACAATGGTGCAATCAGTGATTTACCTTTTTCCCACCAAGCTTTCCTCATGTGATATAGCATGAAGCAGAGACAGCACTCAGCTCCATGGCAACTCATCAAGTCTGCACGCGGAATTAGATCTAGCAACTTCAATGATGCAAGTGCTTTTTAATAACTACAGGGGAGGCTTACATAAAGTAATAATGCTGAGGAAAAGACTCAAGTAGAATCTTTTTTTAAAACATTTTAAGCCTTGAAACTGACAAGGCTTTGAGCAATATCTCAGGCAATGTTTTTCATTTGCACTGGAAAGAGATAATAATTAGCAAAAGAGTGTATTGAGTGGAAACATTTTAAATGACAATTATTATTAAGTCTACGTGTGTGCTGAAACATAGTAGCAGTTGTAGCTGTAGTTGTTCTCTTTACACTGTGTGCATAATTATTAGGCAAGTTGTATTTATGAGGATTCATTTTATAATTGGACAACTACAGTGCTCTGGGTCAATCCAAAATGTTAATAAATCTCAAACCTGAATATTTAAGAAAGTAAAAGTGAAGTTTTGGCTTTCTGAGGAGAAAATTTATGTGTGCACAAATATTGAGCAACTATTAATGTGCAGAATTATTATACAACGAAATGAAAAATGAACATTTTCCATTCTCACTTGTTTTCATCTGTCAAAATAGTAAATACCTCAAAATGTACTCAAAAGTAACCAATACAGCCACCCTTCTTCTCAATAATGGTCATAAGCCTTCCATTCATGGAGTCTGTCAGTTTCTTGATCTGCTGACGATCAACTTTTTGTGCAGAAGCAACCACAGCTCAGACGCTCTTCATGGAGTTGTACTGTTTTCCTTCACCGTAAATCTCCTGTTTAAGAATGGGCAACAAGTTCTCAATAGCGTTTAGGCCAGGTGAGGAAGGGGGCCATGTCATTCATCTTTAAGGCCTTTACTGGCCACACAGTGAAGTGCTTCAGTGCATGTGACGGAGCATTGTCCTGCATAAAAATCATGGTCTTCTTGAAAGATGAAGAGTTTTTCCTGTACCACTGCTTAAAAAAAGTGTCATCTAAAAAGTGGCAGTAGGTTTTGGAGTTCATTTTGAGTTCATCTTCAACCTGAAAACCAACTAGCTCAACTTTAATAATACCAGCCAATACCAGTGATCCACCTTGCTGGTGTCTGAGATGAAGTCATCTCATCAGTCATCAGTCATCATCATGAAACCTTTGAAAAATCATCAGATATTTCTTGGCCCAGTCTTGACGTTTCAGCTTATGCTTCTTGTTCAGTGGGTGGTTTTCAGCCTTCCTCATCTTGGCCATGTCTCTGAGCACCTTGTACTTCTGGACACTCCAGGTAGGTTGCAGTTCTGGAATACACCTGTGCTGGAGGATAATTAGTTCCTGGTAGCGTCATGTTCGATTCTTCTCTTGCTGTTAATTCATAAACCATTAATACAACTTGCCTAATAATTGTGGTGAATGGGAAATATGTATGCAAACTACCATGTCCATAAGTTTAAAGGATCCATGTTATGATCTATGTTATAATGCTGTTTCCTCATCAAAAAATAGATGGTTTTCTTTTATTCACACATTCACACAAACATTGAACATTTAGTCTGAGTTATTCACTCAAACAGAAAACACTCTGTTCCACCTTGTGATGTGTTAATGAAACAAACACAACTATGGGTTTTTGAGGAGGTAACAACATTATAACATGGCCCAAAGCTCACAAGAGTAAATTATGTAATACAGTACCTTTAAATTGCATTACATTTGCCCATACTCATTAGCTCATACTCATCATTATTTTTGATGAATCAGACCTGGGCAAAGTAAAACCCTGGAAATGCTCTATGAACCAGAGGTAACATCTTAAACTGCATCTTTTGAATTCAGCATTTTTGTACAACAAAAACTTCAATAAATTACAAAGTAGTCTTCTTGAGTTGCAGAGAGTCTGGGTTGCTTTTATTAGGCCCACGCTGACACAGAGGCACTGCTCATGTGAGGTGCAGGTGAGGTGCAATAGCCCAAATCTTTCTCTCTCTGGTTTGTTAGTTTCTTCTGATTTGTGTTTGGCTGCCTGTCACCAAACTCCATTCCCTGAAATCACATCACTATAATGGTCTAATCAGCACTTAACGAGCCATGTTACATAAAATCGATGCCCCTTTCCATTTGAGAATGCAGAATATTTGGAGGAGGTCTTGGTGATAGGGGCAGAGCTGCTGTCGATAAGGTGCTGTAGTCATCAGTAGGCAGTCCTCCAAGCTCACTGATCCTCTGGAGACCCTGGCTTTTACAGCGAAATCCTTTGTTTTGCTGACTAATCATGTATTGATTTTGACAAGTCCAAATAAGGTTGTTAGGGCACTGTCAACATCTTCTGCACCTGTAAAAGCTTTATGGGGTGTCTCTGAAGGCAACATGAATTCCTCTATACACCTCTAACTTTTTGGTCAAACACACATCACATTGTCTTTGCATAACATACACTGATGCCAAAGATCACATAGATCTTCACAGTGCCAGTCAGATTTTGTGATATATAAATAGTTTCATTAGATATTAATTGATTAGTAAAATGGGCAAGCATGTGGGTGTGAATATGTTTAGGGCAGGGCAAATTATAGTGGTTTGAGCTATCCATAGAAAGAAAAGTGCTGAACTAGACAACAGGTGCATACATGAAGTGAAGACTGAGGTCTGAGACGCATCTGAAGCTCAAATCACTTGAAACTTCAGTCTGACAAAAGACTGTATAGGAAATGCAACGGGTGGTCATAATGTTTTGCCTAGCGAGGAAGAGAATATATGCATTTGTCTCTTCAGAGTGCTATAAACATGTTAAACCTTTGAAAGGTGTTATTTCAACTGAGTAAAGAAGACGTTTAGTTATTCATTGGTCATGCATTTAGCTCTGAACTATGTGGTGCCAATGAGCGGCAGCAGGTTCTTTGCATTATTCTTGATAAAACTGCAGAAAGAACACAACAATCCCAGCTTGTTTCCATTTCAGTAGACCTTGGAGCTGCAAATGAATAATATATCGCTAGCAACTCTAGAGGTAAATGAATAAATCTGGCTTTCAGTAGGTGGGAATTTGCTAAAAGCAGAGCTAGATGTCATGGAGCAACAGCACTACCCTGTGGAGAATTGAGGTACTATAAATACGAGGACTAACGTCAAATCACATCTCGAGTCGGTCTCTCTGTATTTAAGCATGCCTCCAAACTGAAAATGGAGCTGGAGTTTTTAACAATGGTGTGTTATACGCACGGCAAATGCTGGTTGTCCACATCATTAAAGTAAGTGCATGTGCAGAATGGCTCAATGCAGAAGCCTGGAGATAATTAATATCAATGACCCCGCTGCCTTTTCAAATGCATCATGCCAGGCCTAATGATCGCGTGTCATAAGCCGCCGTAGGTGCAGACTTAAGCGCCGTGTTTGCTGCCAGAAACGGGCCAGGGGCTCCAGAGCTGACAGGCGAGACCAGGTGAGTAATTGTCGATGGCATCTTATTACATCGCCGGCCTGATCTGATTTACTCGAGCAGCAAATCGTGGGAATAGACCCGGTGTTGTCGCGGGCTTTGAATTAACGAGGTTTACGCACAAATGGACCCGGCCCTGACGGCACATACATTTCCAAAGATTAAAGAGGATTTCCAACTTCTTGTTTCTCACAATAGAGTTACCCCATGTGTTAGTGGTTTTGTTTAAAATATAGGATAACACGGCCATATTTCTTTTGCTTACTGACTTATTGCTTATTGGAGGCTGCTGTTTAAATCTATTTTAGTGGTGAGTCCTGATAGGATCATTGGTCACTCTGCTATTGCATACTTGTAATATGTATTAAAGCACGTGAACAGTATTTGCTATTACGAAGTACTAGCACATTACCCACAACACATTTGGTGGACTAGAATAATAAATATAGGCTAGTATACACGCTAAAAACAATTGGAATTTTTCTACAAAGCCTTTGAAATTCCTAAAAATATAAAACAATATCAAATAATAATCAATAATAGTAGAGTTTTCTTTGGTTAAAATGTTTACAACATGAACAGTTTAATTTATAACAACTACATCTCCCAGAATCATCTAAAACCTGATTGGGTAGAATTTTAGTCACGTGATCAAAGTTAACCAATCGTGATAGACTCAAACAGGAAGCGTAGCTTTCAGCCAAGTGACAGCCAACTTGAATGTCAGGACTTGCACAAACCTATGAAATACTCGTGATTTTGATCTAATATGCCCCTTTTCTCATTGTAGTTTATTGTAGCAGACGGTATCTTTTTCGGTATGTTTCGTGCTGCAATTAAAACGCTTTCTGTTGGATCGCGTTGCTCTCTTTCCCCAGGGCTGTCTGAAATTCGGCATTATTGCAGGAAGACACCAATTAAAGTACAAGTATCTGAAGCTTTATCTGGTGTAGCACTTGGAGATGTTACTATCCAGGTAATTTAACTTTGAACACTTGCTATTTGCTTTGGTTTTGGCAACCTATTTTGTAATTTTTAAGTTTTATTAACCCAGTGGCTCCACATCTTAGGCTACAGTACAGCTGGTAGCATTGGATGTCATAGTTTTATCTGTGCAATTGTTAAGCCTTCCTTATCTGTAACTATAGATCTAGAGTTCATTTTGCTGTATATTTTGTGAATAGGGATGGGTCCGCTCAGTCAGATCTCAGAAAGAAAACCTCTTTTTCCATGTGAATGATGGGAGCTCATTGCAGTCTCTGCAGATAGTTGCCCCGTCTGATCTAAGCAACCCGTAAGAAAGCCTGCATTATATCAGATTATTCACCTGTAATATACTATTGACCAATAATGTGCTTTCTCTATTAGGTTGTTAACTTTAGGCAGTGCTGTTGAAGTCAGGGGAGTCCTAAAGAAAAGTCCACTCCCAAAACAACCTTTTGAGGTAGAAGCTGAAGACATTCAGATTGTTGGAGAGTGTAACTCTGTGGTAAAGAACACAAGATGTAATTGATGATCAGCCAAAATATACAAAATTTTATCTTAAAACTTGAATGCTCCTATTTATTTCAGGAGTTTCCCTTCAAAATCAAAAAGAGGCATAGTCCAGAGTATGTTCGCCAGTTTCCACATCTGCGATGTAGAACTAATTCCTTTAGCTCCTTATTGCGGATAAGAAGTGAAGCTACTGCAGCTATACACTCTTATTTCAAGGTGAGGCTCACAGCTCCATGTCAAAAATATTTAATTGCTTGACTATGTATAACTTCCGCTTTCAGGAACATGGGTTTGTACAGATCCACACTCCAGTGATCACATCTAATGACTGTGAAGGAGCCGGGGAGCTCTTCCAAGTTGAAGTGAGCAATCAAACTTGGCATTCATACGTGTCTCCTGCCTCTTTTCCCAATAGATCGAGAGCGGCTGCTGATTTGATTCTTTTAAATGTAATGTAATAAACATACTCTACTTTAAAAGGCATTTTGCATTGTTAATTTGCAGGCAACATGTCCACAGGATTCAGAAGATCACAAATTCTTTTCTGTGCCAGCCTATCTCACTGTGTCTGGTCAGCTTCACTTAGAAGTTATGTCAGGGTAAAAAAAATAAGCTTTTTTGTATCAGATATTACTTTTTGAATGTTTTGAAATGTGGCGTTATTACACCTTTCTGTTTCTCTAGAGCATTTTCTAGAGTTTACACTTTTGGCCCAACATTTCGTGCTGAAAACTCTCAGAGCAGACGTCACTTGGCTGAGTTTTACATGGTGGAGGCTGAGATCTCATTCACACAGTCTGTCGAGGATCTGACTAAGGTACATAATTCCTAATCCATTATTTTAATGTTTTGTTTTTTTTTTGTTTTGTTTTTTTTAAATCAAGGTTTATTTCACAAATAATTCAAAACAATGTTAGCGTGTCAATACTCAGCACTATAATTGTATGTAGACATAAGACACGAAGAGGATAAAAGCACATATCTTATGCACTTCAATTTGTGTTTGTACTTTCAAAGTGAAAAAGAAAAGTTTGCAATATATTATATAATATTAATTATTCTGATTTGCATATTCTTTAGGAGTGTTATTTGTTTGCAACTCTCCAGCTATGTGACTTAAAAGTAGCCCTAGTCCACAGTTACAGCAGAGCTTTAATCATTAAACTGTCCCTGGTTTAGGTCATGGAGGACATGTTCAGATCAGCCACAGAGCAGGTCTGGGCTCAGTGTGCAGAAGATGTGGATGTATTTTACAAACATGTGACTCCAGGACACAGGGTAAGACCTCAAGGACATTATTTAACCATGCCACACTTGTTCACTATTGTATTTCACAGTACTATTCATTTCTCACATTTGTTCTTATGCTTTTAAAGGAAACTGTAGAGGCTATGCTTAACAGAAAGTTTACAATGTAAGTATAAAACAACAACATGGATTACTCTTAATACATACAAAATACAAATGAATTCTATATATTTTCCAGTATTTCATATAGTGATGCTATAGACATCTTGCAGCGCAGCTCAGAGGATTTTGTATTCCCTACAGATGTAAGTTTAAGTATATTTATATATTTGTACCTGTGACTATTTCAGTCACCTGTACTTTTTTGTACAGTGGGGCTCCGACCTTCAAACTGAACATGAAAAGTACCTGGTAAAACATTGTGGCAACCTACCCATCTTTGTCACTGATTATCCCTATGACATAAAGCCATTTTATGCAAGGGACAACCAGGATCATCCTCAGCATACAGTAAGCCAGAGTTAAATTTACAGAGTGAGTTATTTATTTCCTTAGGCCCTAGTTTGTGAAGCCAGTAGTCCAGTTCATTTGCACAGAGAGGTGGTTTTGACTACATGTTGTGTGCAGGCAGCTGCAGTGGATCTGCTGGTGCCAGGAGTTGGGGAGCTCTGCGGTGGCTCCCTCCGAGAGGAGAGGCTCGATTTGCTCACAACGCGGCTGGAGGCGTAAGGCTCTTCCTGAGCTGCATGATTAATAAGAGATAACCTACTGTTTAATGTAGTACTTCTCAACACTAAAATACACTAAATCATCATTCAAAATATGTCCCAGTAATGAAACATATGTTGCATACTTACTATATAACACTAAACCACTGACTTTGCCTTTTTAATATGACAGTTTTTGTATATGTTATATAATAATATAATATTTGTATATTTCCAATTTTTCCATTTTAGAGCCGGATTGGAGGAAACTTACAGCTGGTAAATGAAATGCAAATCATTCATTTTCATACTACACACATACATATACACACAAAGTATAATGATTCTCTGGTTTTCTGAACAGGTATCTTGATTTAAGGCGTTTTGGCTCTGTTCCTCATGGTGGCTTTGGAATGGGGTTTGAAAGATATCTGCAATGCATCCTGGGAATTGACAACATCAAAGATGTGATTCCTTTCCCTAGATTTTCACAATCTTGTCTTCTGTAACAATTGAATAAATGTATTATTATTTCTTTTATTGAATGGCGATATATTATAGTAGTGCAATGTAGGCTACAGTATCTATTTGTTCTGATTCAGCACAATTGATAGCGGTACTTCAAACTTCCACCAGGTGGTGTAGTTTCTTGGGCTGCTATTGTAAACTAATACCAAATAACGCGCATTTCATTGTTAACAACCAAGTTTGCAACTTGGTTGGCTATTGAAAATAAACTTTAATTTAAGGGTTGGCTTATTTCAATAAGAATGCCAAGTTGCTCGAATGTGGATATGACCTGCATTTCTATAAACCGTAAAAAACCTACAGACTCCGCATTTATGTCTGTACTTCAAATTATCAAATATAAATAAATGTCCTTTAGGCCCACATGAAACACCAATATTTTGGCTTGGCGTGTAATAAGGTTATTGGTAACTTATTCTCCCATCATTTGGTCCCGGTGCAGTCCATCCCTCTGCGCTTGGTGGGCGTGGTAAGAGTTGGGAAAACAAACTGCAGACACCCTATGCTACTTCCTCGCCCCGCATCAGTTGAGTTCCTTAGCGGGTCCTTGCCAGCTGCCCGTGCGTAAAAAGACGTGACTTCCAGCGTATCTACCGCTGTATTGGAATAGCGCGGCTTGTTGCGCACTGCACCGCCGGACTCACCACTTCTCCGAGTACCACTGCCCTACTCCGCTTCTATCAAATGGGGGGAATGCTCTACTGCCGGACCAGAGAGATGCCGATAAGTCCTTGAACGATCACTCCTGGATTGGAGTCGCAATGTATTAGCGAAGCACGGCAGTATATGAGAACAGCAAGGAACACTGGCAATTATGAGCGGAGGAGAGATCATCTTCCAGGGCTGGCTCCGAAAGTCACCACCCGAGAAGAAACTCAGGAGATATGTAAGTGCTTTGAGTCACTCTGCATCCTATTTCATATGTTAGCATCTTTCACTTTCAGAGACTGGAGATCTGAAGTTCTGTCAAAGCAGGTGCAACCTACAGTGCCAGGTGGACATCCATTGACTGTTGTTATAGTTATTCAAATCTTGAGTAATTGTTTGTGACTTTTATGAGGGCCACCCACTTCGCTTCTGTGACAGTATGGGTGTGTTGCAAATACTTCACAACTGTCAATGATTTTGCCTAAACAACTCCAGGGTACACACGTTGTTAAGCAACGTTAGCCTTATCTGATCATTTGGGGGCAGTTGTTGATGTCATGGATAATTTTCATTATGGCAAAACCGGCTTATGTCCCAACAATTGTATTAATAATAACTTTGAACAGCATGAGTACATTTTACTAAACCATATGAACTAAAGCCTCAGTCTGGCTGGGTGCTGGGCAGGAGAATAGCCCCAAATCAGATAATAGGATTTATGAAGGCTTATAGAACCATGAGACAATCTCCTATAAATACAGCTGTCCTGTGTTTATGTATGGTGTTGCATTACTAGGCTGCTCCATGTTCCTACTAGCTGACTTTGCCATGATGTCATCACGCCGTTTCATCTGGAAATCCATCCTCGTATGTGTCCAAATGCCCCCACCCCCATGCTGTCCTCCCCCTGTCATTTCCTCATTGTCTTCCACTTAAAGCTGCCCGGTGTTTACACAGAGACCACCGCGGTCAGTGTGGATCAGCAGCTGGGAGAGGGAAAGAGGACGAGGGAAAAACTTGCTTGGTTCATAACAGCGCTGTGTAAACAACAAGAGAAAAAGCTCTCACAAGACCTAATGGGGCTAACATAATGGTCTTCCCCAGGCTACAAAGTGAACAGGGTGAGTCTCACCCTGCCTGTCTCCATTGGCACTGAAACCTAAAAACAACTAGACCCACTTTTGAGGCAGACACAAGTGTCATGAGACGTGTCCGCAGCAGACAGTCTGTGGATGCCATAATCGGCTCCTCTGGAATTCCTTCCACTTAAAGTCAGGCTTCAGACAATCACTGCATTAACTCACTATGGCTGTCATCTGATGTTGTTGATGTCCCATAGACAACAGTCAGACACTACTCACATACTACAACTCCCTGAGGTGTGGATTGCAATTGCCACAGATCCTAAATGGGAAGCGAATCATTCTTATCTTTAAATATTTATTTGGTAAGGAGTATCCTGCCTTTACAAGCTCAAGAGATGGTTTGGATCATTTACTGTCAGATTAATAAACACACTGGCTAGTACTTCATTAACATATTTGTCTACTACATCTTTGGTGCTAGTAGTAGTACTAATAGTAGTAGTAGTAATTGACCTTAAGAATTACTAAAAATGACTGCATTCCTATTTCACCTCTCTATCCCCATTGAGCACATTTATATTAAGCAGCTGTTCACTCATGTATACATTAGAATACACAAACACCTGAAGACTAGTTGAGTGCCTTGCCCAAGGGCAACTGATAGCTGATCTTATGATTTGTGGGTCAACGCTCTACCAACTGAACAACTGCCTCCCTGCTTTTACGTTTGCCATTATCCAAATAGTATTGGTCTTGTTTTGCATTTACATTAACAGTTATTCTCCATGAAGAGGAAACTTAGTTCATTTTGCATGTATAATGATGGAGTGCAACCAGCCTCTAACAGTACTCCTCCAGTCCTCCCTGAGCCAGTCACAGCCTGTGTTTGTTAATCAGTATACACTTGAAATGATTGGTCTTCACAGGAAAAGTCTCCCATGACCTTTCTGTAAATGTGCCACTCACAAATGCAGTTGAAACTCAAATGGAGCTTTAGGAAAAAATCTGAAGAACCACAGTAAAAGCTGGTATGCAAATCATATGCAAACACAGTGGCCAGTGGCATAACAGGAGGCAATAGCTTTATATTCGGTTACAAGCTTGGCTTGTCTTGGTAAATGTTTTATAATTCCTTACAAATGTGAGTCTCCACTGTGAGACACTCTTTATCCAGGGACTTATACAGGGATATAGTTTTTGGTTTGTTTACCCAATATTCTTTACATGTCAAATGATGCATATTTCAAAACAATGTGAACACAATTGACCAATCTGGCCTCCTATGTTTATTCAGATTTGATGATTTTTCAGGAGCCCATGCATGGTCTTTGGGCTAATCATAATGCAGCTTTGAAATTGATGGCAGTTATTATTGTATTATATATGTGGGTCCAGGGAGGATATATTTTGGTCAGGTCATGTTTAACCTGGTTAAATAAAGGCTAAATGAAAATAAATATATTAAAGGGTAACAATTTATTCTAGGAAAAGTACTCAAAGCACCATTACTCACACACTTGTCAATCCTTGTATTTAAACTAATCCTTTTGTTAACCATTATGTAATATTAACCCCAATTGCAGAAAAAAAGTTCTCAGAGCATATTTTTGAAATGCAATTATATAACTTAAACACAAAACAAAGTTTATTTCCATATCTGTAGATAAACTTCTCTAACCCTAATTTGTATATAGGATGTATTAGCTGTTACCTCTTTGTTTACAAAACATCTTATAGTAATCCTCTAATGAATCACTCGTATTGTTATACATACAGTATTTGCAGTCCTGCAGTGACTCATAGTATATTCTGTGTCACAATGTAAACAGTGTGCTCCTGCTGCAGGTGAGCCAGGGGAAGCGCTGGTTGGTAGGGTCCTCCCAAACGTCCTTTGCTGACATTACAAACATGTCTGTTCATTCACACATTCCTCACTGATCATATCGCCACAGTGATAGCAGCACATACTCTATAGTGCCAGGACTTTACCATTGTATCTTGTGGGACAGTAAACAGGGGACAGGGGGACACAGGGGGAACGTGGTTAGTGTCCTGCTGTCAACTGCTAGACTCTCTGTTGTTTTGAACAGCTTTGGGAAGTTCTTGCCCTCAGAGGTCAACTCCAAGCTCCGCCCAGTTCCTGCTTTGACAGACAGCGCTCACACAGACTTTTCCTTGTTCATCTCTATCTGTGGGTGCTCATGGATGAGAGTAACCATGTAGTTATAGGAAAACTGTTAATTGTCTTTTTTAGATGTTTGTGGAATTTTGTGAATTACAAAATTAATGAAGGCAAGATGACTGACAAATTTCACTGGCAAGAATTCACATTGAATATGCATTTATTGTTTTCACTGATATAACTTTTCAGCAATATTTCCACATCTAATATTCTAGATAAAAATTACTTTTAGATACCTTGGCTTTTTTTACATGGAGAAAAAGCATGGAAAAGCAAGTACCGGTACATGTAATTGTTGCATCTTTATAGTTATTCATTTACTTTAAGTCTTTCAGCACTTATAAGCATCTGCCTAAAATAACAGATTTGCTATTATTCCTTTTGTTATTTTGGTCTTGTTGTATAATGTGTCTACAAAGGGCACGGAATGTGGTTCATGTCTGGGCTATATATAGAAAATATAATTTTGCTGTGCCAGAAAAAGCAATTTCTAAAACTGTCAACGTGAGTCTCTGTTTAGAATTACTACACAACAAAGTTACTCCAGTTCATGCTTTTCTAATTAAAGCATAACATTGCATGCATCACAACCATGACATCTTAAAATTCAGGGCATATAGTAGATTATAACGGGACTATTTTTACCTCAGTGATTGGATCCAACCAAGTAGTCAGATGCAGCATCAGGCTGTGAGCTACAGCTTACATGTCATATGACAGTCATTAGATTGGGCCAGAGAACTAAATGGGCTTTACAGTCATGGTGTTTAGTCTTTGTGAATGATCTGTGGTCACACACTGGCAGCACAAAAAACACTAAAGACTAAAAGTAATAGATTTGATACACTGCTGTTCAAATCTCATAAAACGTAGCTATGATGTAAAACCCAATGCAATATGATATAAGTAGTTAGAGAATATAAACGTAAAGGTGCACCATTCAACTTTTCTAGTCCGGGCTTGCCACCTGCTTCTTTCCATTTCAGGCAAAACAATAACATTACAGTGCAGGCAAGCTGGTGGCACTGTGTCTGACACCAGTATTGTTGACATTAGTTAATCTGATTTACAGCATTTGACCCACACCCAAAAGACCAGCAGCTCTATATGAGGAGCCCCCCATCTTATTTAGCAGCCTTTTACCTGCAGTTTGTGAAGGGTGGAGAATACAGATGCACCGAGCCAGCTTTTTTTGTCTGATACCATTTCTGATACTATGGATTTAAGTATCTGCTGATACCTACTTTCAAACCAATACCAGTGCAGACTAAAAACTGCATTTATTTCCTTAAGACAAATATAAAATAAGACAAAAGTGAGCCAGATGTGTTTAGCTGTTATTTATCCCTCAAGTAATCACAGAACAGCTTTGCATAAACAGAAATTCAAACACTATGAGTTTTTCCAACTATGACCAGTAAACATTCTTCATCATCATACATCAATTTATATGTCAACCAGGATATCAGCTGAACCGATATTTGGAAGCCGATATTTGATCCATCATGTTTTTCATTATCTGTGCCAATATCTGATACCAATATGACTACTATTTCCTACTACAAACTCAAGTAGTTCAATTGGTGAATTTACTGTAAATAGGAAATTTTGATAGTTTAAGGTGCCATACTGATTATTTGTCAGAGGACTTCTGAAGATAACAGTTCATGTTAAGTGATAAGGCACTTCCTATTTTTCGAGAAAATTTGTACTTTGAGTCATATTCTTAAAACTCAAGAAAACATTGAAACTGGTATTTGAATTAAACTTAACATTAATGTGCTCACAAAAAGAAACGTGTTATTGAATCGCAAGAGTTGGATGACATGTCTGCATAATGATGAGTCACTTCATTGGTAGGAATTGTTGTTTCCTATAACTGTACCACTAAACCACTAGATACTAAAAATAAATACTGACAAATACTATATCATGAGATGAAAGTATAAGAGGTTTTGTGACACATCAGTAGAAGTGGTGCAGTCTCAAACATTTTAGTAATATTTCATTTTAGCTTTAAAGGGGGTGTAGAGTCTGTTTTTAGGAGATGGCATTGAACTTATTTATCTCCATGTAATTTCTGAAATAATAATACAAGTGATTAGCAAATAAATCCAAGGCAAGGTAGTGTTTAATGTCAAAGTGTGGAATATTCCAGGCATAGAAATGGTATTTCTGGCGGCGGGTCCTCCATCAGAAAAGTTACATAGTGCAGAACAGTACATGTTCTGTCGCTGCCGCTACTGCTGTTAATCTCACAAATGCTACTACTACCAAGTCTACTACTAATGCGTATTTGCATTCCTTACTGCTTGTTGATTGTCACATGTAATTGCTCAGTACACAGTAATTCCACCTTAACGTCTACCTAACTCATAATATTAATATCTGATGTCACTCCAACGAGCAGGGACATGTCATTGTGCGCTTCAGTCAGCACACTCTGTTCCACTGGCTGATGTCAGCCTTACATGACCTTATTCTGAATCATTTTATACTTTCATACTTTCAACTTAATCTTTCTGAAGTACACCGTAAAAACACATATATAATACTAACTATTGTAAAAGAGATACCAATCATGTTATGTTATTGTTGTTCAGAATTGGATATCATTTATTGTATTATAACATGACATATTGAGCTATGCAAACCTTTTTTACTGCAATGTTGGCCTACCCATCAAGTAAGGAATGGAAATTTAAACTAGCAATTAATTACTGCAATATAGTTTTATAGTGTTGTAATCAATAACAACCCTAAAAGTATTCATATTTGCCACTGCTGGATCGACATCATACATTTTGAGGCAACCGGTCTGATAGCACTCCCTCGCAGTGAGCTGAGCCTGAGCGGAGCAGATGGCACAGACAGGAAGTTCCTGACACAAAGAGTTCTGATTAAACATAATGTCCCCCGTTAGTCAAACTGTCAGGCCCGACTCAAGCTAAATACGCGTTGCCTTTCACTCAAATTACTCATTTTCTTAACACTACAAATGAAGGTGTTTTATATGCACCCCAAGGCTCCATGCATTTATAGGTGCTTCTAATTTCCCACACCGTTGCCTCAGTGAATCAGGTGAATGTAGGGGACAAATGCAGCATCTCATATCATTAACCACTGCTGAACTGCATCTCATTTACAACTGCACTGTCAGGGCTTTTTATACGCTCTCAGTTCATTTCTGTATTACCACTATAGCATGAAATTGGGCATTTTGTCCTAGTGGTTGGTTTATGAGGACTGGTAGAGATATGGGTGTGTCAAGGGTCTATAGTCACATGTTTCATTTCATTTTAGAGCAACACTGCATAACCTCTGGGAATGGCTCCAGGGAGAACCAAATGAAACAAACATGATTTTATTTTAATCTATCTTTGTTATGTGGTGGGTCATACTAACAACATTTACTTAATATTAGCCTAAAATTATTGAATATCTTTATGAATTTGCTATAAATAATCTGGACAGTAAACTGTAAATTGTGAGAATGCACTGAGCTAAGTTTTGGTATTGGTCTATGTTACAAAGGAGAGCCCTGTGCAGTGTCAAGGTCTAGTATTGTTTTAAGTCTACCCTACTATAAACACACTTTGTTCAAGTTGTGAAAAAGACAAGAAGGAATAAATAATAACATTTTATTGTGACAGGAATGCTCACTTGTTTCTTCAAAGTCCGGCACATTTTATAGAATATTTTTAGCTATTTTTTGAATGATTAAAACAGGTCCTTCCACCCATTTCCTCAGCATGTACAGAGATAGATAAAATATTAACTATTTTAGCAGAGGGGCCATACCAAATCTTGTGGGTTTGGTTGAAAAAGCACAAATTAGCTGTTAGAAGTTTTGGCCTTTCACAAAATATTGCATTTGCATATATTACAAGCTTTTTCACATCGCCCCAGCTGGTCTTTGTTGTAATTTATTCATTGCAAAGCGACCCTTAATGGTGTAAATGTGCAAAATATTCTTTCTTCTACTCCTCAACAACTTCAGAGAGAGTTAGATGTTTTCTGTAAATAGGATGTGGGCTGAAAGTGTTACCAAATTAATTTAAATGACAATAATGTTAGCTATTATTTGCCACCAGCCAGCAGGGGAACAATCCACACTTATTATGTAAACTTCTGGTGGTCTCATTGTATTCACTGGGAATACAGTCTCATATAGTCTCAATATATTTTGTGCACTGAAAATAAATGTGACTACAATGACTGTTAAATTGCAAACATGATAGCCTGTGGAGGATCTGACACCTGCCTGTCTCCATGGAGATGTTCCTCTGCCTGAAAATTTTCCCTGTATGGCATTATGAGAGAATTATGAGACAAGCACTTAGTTGACCCCTCATGTGAAATGTTACACAGTGCACCTTTAAGACTGAAGAGGGGAAACTACTTGCAGTAAACTTACCCAAACAGATGGAGTACTTTGAAAAGCCTCACTGTGGAATGTTTTTTTTTCATATTTTTATAAATTTTATAGCAGTGCTGTGACTCTTTTGACCTAGAAATGAAGTGGTTGACTTTAGAGAGGCCTATAACTCTATTGTGTTGCTGTCACTCAGATCAAACAGGACCCTGAGCGCCTCAGGCTTTAGTCTCTGACTGTTCAGCTTCTGCCACCAAATGCGACCTTTACAAAAGCTGCTAAAAGATGAGAAAACGTGCTCAGGAAAGCTGCTTACATGTCATACAGTGGCCCAATACTGGCATTGTTTGTTCAGCTGTCTGCCGTTGTTGCTCATATACACTCCTGCCTCCTTCTCTATGACTTAAATGGGAGTGCATGTAAACACAACTGTTCTATTTCAATTCCAATAACATACGCACAGGACTCTTTTAAAAACATGTTGACTGATAGCATGGTGTTGACACAGTCTACTACTAAGCACACAGTGAGGACCTCAGGCACACCTTAATGTTAATGATTTCGTCTCTCTCCTTTTACCTCAAAAAAAAAAAAAAACACTGGCTATTTCAGAGCATCCCGTCCAACGACAGTTGTTCCATTTGAGTAAAGAAAAGGTTTTTGTAGGATTTGTTTTGCCACAGTATCATTGTTTTGTGTATTGCCAAAAATAGTGCCAAACATTTTTCACATTCACAAGGAAACAAAAAGATCCGACACAAGAAACTAGTACAGGTTGTATTTGTAGAAGCAAACAGACGGAGACAATTGTTTGGCTTCCTATTGATCTAAAACAAATGGAGATGCATGTCTGCGTCTGAACACACAAATATTATTGTTGGACTTGCAACAATTTTAGATTTATTTTCAGTTTAACCTTATTTATCTCTCAGGAAGAAATCAATTGTTTTGTTTCCAAAAATTGATCCTGAAATATAGTTCGTCCAGCATAGACAGATGGGGAGTCTTATGGCCTTAGGGAAAAGAGGTATTGGATGGCTACAGGCTGATATCTGCTGTTGATAAGGCAAAACATACACATTATAGTAACTTGTAGACGTTATTCCTATGTTGTTGAAATTAACTGTTGTCATTTCAGGTCACATGTAAACATATTTGTGATATTTTTGGAATAGCTATCAAATACCAACCTTAAAGTCTATTAAGCCACATTAAGCTATCTAACAGAAATTAAGATATTTACTGTTATATATAACCGTGTTAAAAATAAATCCATACTTGGCAGGTATCGAAAGGTTATAACCACAGGAGTCACAAGTCACTTTTGCATTTAGTACAAACGAGATAATAGCAACCCTTATGTTCATGCTAATTTGCAGATTATGTCTGTAAGTAGGGCCTTAGAAAATGTGTACTCAAGTTGTAATTTCTTTTAGGGCTTCCAACATTTTAACATAGCCATTCTTTCTCACTTTCATTCACTATGATTTTTGAATCACCCATATACACCCATATACCCTTGACTGTGAATGGTGGGAGAAAGTCTGAATACATAGAGAACCAATTCTTCCAGTTGATTTCTTACTCTACTGTAAAAATTGTGATTTGGCCTGGCCCATTGGTCTTCTACACAGTCCATTTAGTAATGAGGCCGATGCGTTTTCTCTTGTCCCAGTGGCTCGGTGGTGGAGCAGAAGAGGCGGGTGGAGCAGTGCTGTAGAGCTGGGAACACTGTCCCACTGTAGACACTGATGGATGGGCTCAGACAGACCCCTCTCGGACATGCGCTAGCTCACTGCTCTACTCCAGAGAAACAAGTTGCTCATAGTTTGTGTGGGATGAATGTGAATCCTCCCTTAAGATTTTCTGTAACAAATTTGTATGTTCAGTAAATAAAATATAGTAAAATGGGCATTAAGTATCATATGTGTCGTATGTGCATAATTAATAATGTAGGTGAATTGAAATAGAAGTAGAAGGAGAAGTAGAAGGAGATGCACACACTGTAGTAGCAGAGGTGAAATAACGTTTGTACTTACTGAACTTTAGTACTTGAGGATGTAATTTGCACAGTATTGAGAATTTGCAGTTGTGTAAATAGAAAGACAGTGGAAAATGGTGTTTCTATTATTAGCCTGACAGATCTTATGAAATGTGTTAAGTTTTATTTCTGGGATGAGAGTCTTGTGCTAATGTGCTGCCTCCAACTGAAGGATGCCAGGAATAACCAGCTGGGTCATGCTGACCTCTTCAACTCGGCACACTGCCAGCTCTCAATTAAGCAATGTTCCCTGTGTCCAGAAAAGGACATCATATTTAAATGGAGAGGGCAGGAGTAATGGCTCCAAACCACAGCTCTATCTGTAGACAGGAGTGCTCTGTGCATCTGTCAGACTCTTAAGGCAAGCTCTCATCTCAGCCTTCCTAAGGCTTTTCAATAAGGAAGGAAACTGCAAACACTCTCACTATTAACTTTTGCTTTGACTGTTTTCTCACACCGTCTCACCATGATACTATCACTAATGTAAGACACTCAACCACACAACCTCTCCACTGGTAAATATTCTTGTCACTAAGAAGATTATATTGTTTTAACTATGGAATACTAAATACTGGCTTTTTCTGCTGTGGGTTCCATCTGATATTAAAGTTGCATAGCCCATAGTGGATCAATTTGACAGAAAACAAAATGAAATCATTACATAATGTGCTTGCTTGCCTCAAGAGTATTATAGCTTCACACAACGATAAGATTACAATCTACACTTCTGGGAAAACTCTGTTAGCCTATTAGATATACGGACAATTCTTAGGGGGATTCAGTTTGCTTCGACTTTTCTATATGATACTGCTTCCACACAAAACATTTGAGTACGCAAATTGCTAATATAGTCATTTTTCTAGCTTTATATGTCACCCTGGCCCAACCTTTTGGGTAACTTCTGTGTAACTTTTCTGGTGGTGGTGGGAAAGTGTTGTTGCTTTGCCTGGAATGTTCCATAGAGTGGCATGCAGCTTATCTGTTATGTATTTATTTAATCAATCTAAACCTATTACCTATTATCTAATGCTCAAAAATATCTTGACAAAACATGCAGTCTTACTGAGTAACTGAAGTTACTACTAATTCTGTGGAATCTTCCAAGTAAAGTTATAAACAGCATACAAACATTTGGGGGCCACTCCATCAGAAAAGTTACCTAAAACATGTTGCCTCCATGTTTGTTGTTTTCATGAAACTGTAAAATAGTGCTACTGCTGAGAAACATTTGTTTTTGCAGTCTAATATCATCTGTTAGTTTAGCATCTACTTTTTTACTGCTTGTGAATCTTCGTGTGATTGTAAAAGTGTCCAAACAGTACCCAATTCCCAAATCACAGTAGCTATATTTATATTTATCATACTGATGTAAAATAATGACCATCAGATGTACAATGCAGCAGTACAGGCTTTGAACTTTCCTGAGCTGTCCTGTCTGGCCCTTTCAGACACATAGGGAACACATAGGGAACACATTTGTTGCGGTGTGTCTGCTGCCTGCTGTGTTTGGGGGGTAGAGCTTTAGCCTTGCAGCTCTGTTTGTGTTGATGGAGAGACCGAGGCCTGCAGGATCCTATGTGTCAGCAGCCTGCATGTGAGACAGCGACTGGCGGAAGTGCATCGCTGGCACATGGCCAACCTCTCTCTCCTCTGTCCCCACTCACTCGCCCACTCATTCCCCTCGTCCCCTTCCTGGTCTATCTTCCTCTTTTGTCTCCCAGCACAAAGAACGCACAGTCCCTTTAAGTTGTCCACTGGGAAGAACGTATGGCGTCGGCATAATCAAGCCACTGTTCGAGATGCATGCTAATAATTCAGCTGTTGAATGACATCACCAGTTTCCTATTTCACACCATGCCATTAGCAACAATTAATTATAGTTAACAATTTAGCAATGTATGAAACTGCACTTCCTCTGTTTAAAGTTCAGCTTTGACTGAACAAAAATTATGTCAGTTCAACAAAAACGAGGCCATAATTGGGCAAATCAGATAGGCCTACGTCTATTTACAACTCAGAACCTAAACAACATAAAACTATCCCCATAGACACCACTACCATAGTTGCTTTGAACACATACAGTTATACACTATTCTCTCAGCTATAACAATACAGTATATTGGTATATATCTTTTCTTAATATAATGCATGATATTGTTTGTTTACATTGAACTAGGCCCTGTGGTTTCCCTGTCTGTTACTCAAATCTGATTGGACAAGAGACACATCACTCCAGGAAAGGGGAGGAGCCTACAGAAGTCTATAGTGAACTTGTCATGGAAGGATGTAACAACAGGAAATACGTTAAATGGGCTCACACACCTGCTGTCTACCCACACACAAAAACAATGTAAAAAACCACATGCAAGCTAACACATAAACCTACTGACTTGGTTTTGGGTTTACTGTCACTCACACCACAGCCAGGATTAGTTTAGTATTAGTACTGTAATAAATATTAACAATACCAATTCTTACCTTGCATCTCCATTCATTTCCTTTCCTAGGCCTGGAAGAAGCGCTGGTTCATCCTTCGCAGCGGTCGAATGAGTGGCGATCCTGATGTATTGGAGTATTATAAGAATGACCACTCCAAGAAGCCTATCCGGGTGATTGACCTGCACTGCTGTGAACAGGTGGACGCTGGACTCACTTTTAAAAGGAAAGAATTTCAGGACAGTTTTGTGTTTGACATCAAAACCTCAGACCGCACCTTCTACCTGGTGGCCGAGACCGAGGAGGAGATGAACAAGTGGGTCCGCTCCATCTGTCAGCTGTGTGGATTCAACCAGTCTGATGATAACCACGGTAGGGCATCTGGCTTTCTTGTTTCTTGTTCTTGTTCTCTATAGTGTCCTAAATTGTCTGTTCAAGTGTGGCCAAAAAGCAGAAATAGAGTTGTTCTGGCACATTAATAGATGTAAAATAGACATAGTTACAATTTATACATGGGAAAAGCAAAGATTTTTATTGTCCATCTGTCAGCTGTGGGAATTCAATCAGTCTGATGATAACAATGGTAGAGCATCTGGCTTTCTTTGTTTCTGTTTTTAGGCTATAATTGAACAGGTAATTTAGGAACATTGCAGAGTTGTTCTAACACAGTAATACATATAGAATAGACAAACAGAGTTACAATTTATACATTGGAAAAGCAAAGATTTTTATTGTCCATCTGTCCGCTGTGTGGATTCAACCAGTCTGATGATAGTCACTGTAGGGCATCTGGTTTCTCTTTTTAAACCACATTTGAACAGACAGTAAAAGAACAGGACCAAGTTGTTCAGAGGACAGCAATGACATTAGAAGAGACAATACAATTTATGCATGAGAAAACCAAAGATTTTTTCAACAAGGCTGATAATAACCACAGTAGGGCATCTGGCTTTCTTTGATCCTCTGCATATGCCACAATTGAACATACAATAATGGAACTGTACCAAATTGTTCTGAGCCATTAATACTGTGGATATAGAGGAGACAGTGCAAATTATACTTGAGATAATCAAAAATGTTTATTGTCCATCTGTCAGATATGTGGATTAGTCTGGTGCTAACCACTGTAGGGCATCTGGCTTTTTTTCTTTTTCTTTTTATGTCACAAATGAACAGACAGTAAAAGAACAGCACCAAGTTGTTGAAAAACAACAAATTTACTGTCAGTTGATGATGCGATTTGGACATTGTGTAATATGACCGCTGTGCCCAAAGTACACAGTGACTAAGGATGATATTGATCAAGGAGATGGACAGATGAGGCGTGTTGTCAGGACTTGCACACTTTTTTTTTTTTTCATTTATAAATGGAAAGTCTTTGTTTTTTTTTATCTCATTAACTTAGTCTGATAGGGCACAACCTATCCTAATTACTGTATTCTTTGGCAAATAGTCTGCTGTATGCCTCGGTAAATAGAACATATAGAAAGGCTCATGAGAAAATGTATATGCACAATTATCATTGTTCATTCAAGTCTATGATACCATATACAAAGATATTATTTTGCCTCATTTTAAAACTGACCTGGTAAACAGAGTGTTTCTTCCTTCATGTTGGTATTATTACTGTCCATATTGTGCTCTCGCTTAGGCCATCTGGCAGCCGTTAACTGTAGTGCACTTGGTTGATCATCTGTAACATGTGTCCAGGTGTACAGAAAGCAGCTGGTCACACCATAATAATTTCAGTCACATCCCTGTGGGATCCCCCTGGTCTGGTCAAAGTAATCATCGGGCTTGCGTCAGAAGTTAACTCTCTGCGTTACAGAGCCAACAGGGTGTGACTATAAGGGCTAGTATTACGTATGAGGTGGGTCTGTGTCAGGACAGCTGCTGTAGTAATTGCAGTTCTCTTAGAGTAAATATGGGATCTGTCTTATTTGCTTGAGATACTCTTTTGTTTGCTTTGTCCATGTTTAGTTCCTGTTTCCAAGCAGTTTTCTCTAAGTATGAATGTGTCCTCTGGGACTGCACTGTGACACACACTGCTCCTGACAGGTTGTGCCTGCAGCACTGAAGGATGGGTCATATGTTTAGGTCAAATTTCCCTATGGGGACAATAAAATTACTTTAACTTGTTCTAGTCTGTTTACTTATAAACCACATCAAAACTGGAACTAAACCCAAAACTAAACCTGGGCCAGACCAGGACTTGCCTCCAATAAAGGCTACCAGTGATCACCAGCAGTATTTTCAGTGAAAGAAAGCAAGAATCCAGATAGACACATACACATACAATATTTGTGGACCAGAGTGAGAATAATGGTTGCTTGGAGTGACTTTCCCTTGTCTCTGTTCTTGTTTGGTGAAATGATGAAGTCATTTGACTCATCAAATGAACTGTAGTTCGTCATCCCAGTGTTAACTCAGAAAGAACCCTTTCTCCCTGGAGCTTTTTTGACACAGTTGTGGAGTGTTCACGTCAGCTCAGAGGCTTTTCCAGGGAAGCTGTTGATATTACTGCATTATCTTTATGTTTACTAGGCTTGTTGCATCTTAACTTATCTCTGGTCATTTATTCAGCCTTGTGACTTATACACGAAGCTTGTGACTGCCCAATGCTACGGTTTGTGCATCAGAGAAATGGCTGGTCTTTGCACGGTATACCACCTTTGTATTTTATTTATTTCATTACCTGGAAATAAATAGCCAAAATTATTCTGACTTAGTTTATTTGTTTTTTTATTGCTTGCTGTGGGCTTCTGTGAAAAATTTGAAACTGAAACTCTCTTGAAACGCAACTAACCTCATCTCTTTATATTGTGGTGTTGATGCGTGCATCACTGTTTGTCATGCTAGTTTATGCAGGTGTATTAGAACCACAAGTTGTGAGCAGGAGTTTACTGCAGATAGCTGATTGCACACTTTTCAGAGAAAACATATTTTCTTAGATTTTCCTTGGCCCACAGCTACAGAAGTGAGTCAGTGTGTCATATAACGGACTGGGAATCCCCTTTTTGAGAAAAACAAACCTGCTGGAAAAACAATACTAGTTCCTTGTTGGAAAAATGTGACTGTTTACTAAGTGATTCCAGTGTGGTCAAATATTTCTTTTCATTCACTGACCTGTTCACTGACCTGTTCACTAACCTGTTGTGCACACTCAAGTGATACAGCATGTGTTTGTTTGACTACAATAAGACCCAGAGCTTCAGTCAACAACAAAGTTAGCTGACATAAATAGACAAATTAAACAGTCTATGGATGATAGATATAGAGCTAATTACACCTGGACATCTGCTCCAATTTGTCTAAACATGTTTGGTATTTTATGTTATATTGTAGTGTCAATGGCATTATGTTCATTGGTCTGCTTTTTCTTGTTTTGCAGCACATGCACTTGTGCATATTCTCTTCTCAAAGTGCCCTTCATGTGCATTGATTTTAGTTGAAATAATGAGACAGTGGCAGTTGGAGGTCGGGTTTCTGCTGCCACATCTCTGACAGAGCTTTCTGGAGCTGCATCTGCTGCGTTCACATACTCGGATTGCATTTCTACTATTGCCTAACAATACATTAGTACAATTGATCAGTTTCGCCATAGCCCACTATTAATAGCTTTTATGTGTGCACAATTCATCATAATCAAAAATGCAATTTGGATTGACTGAATTTATTTAAGTAATAGAATGTCCTCTGCCAACAACAAAATATCGTTTTAACCACGTGGGGCTTTACAAACATGCTGAAATGTATGATTTTTGTAAAATCCTACTCCTAGTTGTGTTTAAAATGTACACTGTGAACTGAATCCTGGTTTAACTAAATCAATTACAAATCAAAAAATCACCATACTTGTCAGAACAGTTAAAAGATATGCAATTTTGTGTTTTATTTGAGCTGCTTGCAAACTTAGCATGTTACATACTTAATTTTTATTTGCAGTTGATATCTCCTCTGTGCCTATGTTGTGAATGGCCTTGTGTGTGGTGTGTCTGTAGCAGGCAGACCCACCCCCAAGCCCTGTTTAATGAATGGAACATGGTCTGGTCAATCGCAGGCTTTGTTGAGCTCTCTGCGGCTGTTTGAACTCTAAGCTGGGATAAAGGGATGAGGTTCAGAGCTGTCAACACGCCTCTCTACATATACTTTTATTCTGTCGACTCAAGAACAGATCCACAGCTATCTTGTTTTACTATACAATACTAAATCAAGAACGCTGTCATCCCAATGATAATGAAAAAAGTGTCTTTTTATGGTACTACTATTAAAATTTTTACTACTTGTAGTAGTATTATTAGTTTTAGTGATCTGTGGGTGTATTTCAGACATAGTTTTCAAACATAAAAGCACTGACTAACAATATAAAGCATGCTCCCATGTGTGATAATGGATCAATGGACAGATCCGCCCCCTTCCGATTTTTCTAACTTAACTTTTTAAAGATTTTATCTTGCTCTCTTTCTAAGAATGAGGAAGCTTTAGAATTTCCTGTGGTTAGAAAAAAGGAATAATACATCATGACCTCACATTTAGATATATATATATATATATATATATATATATATATATATATATATATATATATATATATATATATATATATATATATATATATATATATATATATATATATATATATATATATATATATATATATATAAATTAGTTTTGTTGAGTTTTGAATTTTTGGGGGAATGTTAATTTAGTTCAATGATAATTGCGATTATTCAGATCATGACAGTTGTAAGAACTGAATAATTTATTTTGAGAAACAAAGTTAATTCATTTCAATTCAATCCAAAATAGTAAGCCTAAATTTTTTCTGACTGTTTATGCTGCATTAACTTTATCATTCATAAATTTTGATACAACTGGTCACATTGGTAATGTATTAGACAATGGGAATGAAAGAAATTAAGAATTTTATTGTTTGGTCAGTAATAGTGAATGATTGTGATGTCTCCTCTCACAATAATACAAAGTGTATAGTAGTCTTACAGCATATGGCTCGTTTCCAGTTGTGTTAAATAGTATATGACACATAAAACGATCTGCTTCTAAGACATTTTACTAGTTGCTGAATCATGAATATTATAAATCATATGCTATAAAGATCTCGAGCCTTCATCCTGTCTACCTTTGTATGAGAAACCTCCCCTCACTTCTTCTACTTCTATAAGCCATAAATTATACAACTAAATCTTATGCATTTATCTTGTGGTGCCCAACATGAATGACTAATGTATTCCCCCTTATTTCCGGTGGGATACATGGAACATTTTATTGCTCTGAATGGAACTGATATGATCCCATAAAATCACATAGATAAATCATTTTGTCATATCAGATCATGTATTTCCTCTCTCCGTTGCTTTATATAGGGAGGGACAACATTTTGAAATTCCTCTCCCGTGTCCTCCTCTCTGTTGCGTGGTTACAATATTTATGGAATGAGGTCAGGCAATTGAAAATGAACTCCTAGGACTTAGGACCAAACTGTGGAGGATATGTATTGGACCGGCCCCTCCTTGAGTAGACTGGGGCTTTTAGGTGATTGATCCAGGGTTGTGTTTTGAGGCAGATTGATGTGGTGCAGTGGTGGAGTGAGTGGGGGTGCCTGGGAGTGGTCACATGATGCAGGAGAGCCAGACCAGGCGCAGGGCAGTAATGTGATCAGGGAAGTGTGTCTGCTTGGTTTGGTCCAGACAGATAGGTTCAAACGTCACTGGCTTCATTCAAACTATATTCACTGGAAACCACATTCAGAAATCTATAATTACTGCAGCAAAATCATATGCATATGCAACATGTCTGGAGTTGTGTTTTGCTTCATTCACACTTGTTTAACACACAAACTCTGCTCATTTGGGCTGAGTTCTTCTCTGTTCTACCTTGGAAGAGCTCCACTGTGTTTTTAACTCCACACACCTAGAATAATTTCTGCCCTGAAATTGTCAATCTCATTGAACAAAAGAAACAAAAAGATAGCTCTTAACTTAACTTGAAAACTACCACTTCATGACAACACAAGGTGGAGCATTCTGAGCTTTAGAGATGTAGACAGTCTAATAATAAAGGATTACAAGAACATGTGTAAATGAAACGGAACACTCAACAATAACTCAAAGTACACATAGATGTCACTATCTAACTGTAGTGTTACGACTGTTGAAGCTTCACGATTTCTTTATTTTTCAAATTATTCCCACTATAAGCAACTACAGTGAAATCCTTAAGTTATTTTGATTTACAATGTCTAATAAATCATCATTCCTCTGTTATGTCACTAGTTCTATGCAGTCAAACTTTCTTAATGAAAAAATATGAATGCGCTTTTTAAGAGCATAGAATTGCTTGTTTGTGAAATTCTCATGATTACTAGCACTGTTTCTGATCTAAATCATCACTATAATCCCTTCCTCCCTTAGACTTTTCAGTTATGTTTTTTTCAGTGGCATAGTGACACAGTGGCACCTCACAGCAAGAAAGTCCTGGGTTCAATTTCCACATAGACCTTTCTATGAGTACTCTGCTCTACCTATGTCTGTGTGTCCTTTGACTACTCTGGTTTGTCCTCACACCACTGAAAAGCATTGGGTTATACTGGCCTATAGTAGCAACAAAGACGCAAATTTTATTTTTATGTACTTATATGTAATACACAAGGAAAGTACACTACATTTACAGATAAAAGGACATTTTAATCACTGGGACTTTTTGGTGGCAATGCTTTTTTCAAATTGATCATAACTTGAGATATGTGTTTTGCGTTACTTTATCTAATGAAACATCGTTGTGTCCTCTGTATAGATGGTTAGAACATATTTTATCTGTATACGAAAATGCAATCTCCTTTATCAGAGAAGACATCAGAGAAATTGCCTTTTTAGTGCAGAGGAAGGCAAGTGGGAGTGGCCTGTCACATGTCTGATAATTGATAATTGTGCACCTTATTCATGTTATCAACTGTCAAAAACACAAATTATACTATTTTGGGGTTTCCATGTTTAGCCTCATAATTAAATGGATCAATGCTTTTTTCTGTTTTCAGTGTGATTTGAGATTTGATTATTGTATGTCCCGGTCTAATTCAGGGTGCATTGGGAGGAAATGAGCTGTCCACAAAGATGTTCTTGTCCTCCGTAACCCTGCACAGTCTAAATCTGGCGTCTGTGAAACCAGCCACCCCATTCTATTAGATTACATCCACAGAGCAGATGAGACTGTAGGTGATGTATTATGGAGGATAATTGGAAAATTGCTCATGAATTCAGTAGTTCTTTGACCCAGAAAAATAAATGACGGAGGGTCTTTTAACGCACCGCTTTTCAGCTCTGATTTGTGTTAGAGCAATGTCATGGGAAGAGCTCTTTGAACCGACCTGTGTATGTGACCTCGAAGCACCCCACCCTGGTTCAAATAAAGGCCAACCATACTCACGCTTAATATAGCATAGCAACAAATTGTTTATTAAGAATAATTCAGGTTTAAGTACTAGGGTTGGGAGTTAGGGGATTTGGTAGTTTCTCAGCCTGACTCATTTTGAATATATTTGTGCATTATGTATTAAATTAGTTATTATTAAGTGTTACCTAAATATCAAATAAATATGGAATAATTATTAAGATTTGTTGGTTAAATAAAAATATTAAACTAAACAGGCTACTGGTGCAGAATTAAATAGTATTATATTAATTATATAGGTACAGAATTAGTCAAGTTTATTGGAATATACAAAATGGAGAAAGGCAGTATACAAAAAAGTAGAACACAAGGAGAACCCTGCTCTTTTTTCTATTCTTGTACTGTGGTGGAGTTGATGTAATTGCATCCCAGTGGGAGCATACATCATCAGAGCCATTAGTGTCAGTGATGAGGCTTGTAGCTCGTTCCATCAGCAGACTGGACTGGCCATCGCTCACAGCTCTCCATCTGACAGTCAGGGCTGCTGCTGATCACTCATCATTTGGGACATGTACAAAATAACATTAGGCTAATATCAGCTTTAATGGTCCTAAATTACATAAAATTTACTCTTGTGAGCTTTAGTAATGTTGTTCCCTTCCAAAAACACACCTGGTATTTTGTTTTTTTCACATGTATTTAATCCTTTAGTAAGTAAGTTTAGTAATCCTGCATTATTCGTCAGTCTACATTTCCAAAGCTGAAAATGCTCTGTTCCACTTTGTGATGTCATCAAATGGTGGTTATCAAATTAACAGCCATGTTTTACCTTTTATTCGATAGAGATTGGCAATTCCAGGGCTGAAATCATCCAAATGATTCTAGTGAAGTTGTATGGAGTTTAAAAACACAGTAGAGTATTTCCTGTATTACATCATGAGATCACAAGAGTGTTTTCTGTTTGAGAGAAGAACTCGGCCTTAATATGCAGGGTTTGGGTGTTAAATGTGTGAATGAAACAAAACACAACTCCAAGTATGTTTGTGATAAGGAAACAGCATAACATAAATCAAAACATAGCGTAATATGGGCCTTTTAGTGCTTCACTCTACACAGCACTGAAGCAGCCTCTTGTTTTCCTATGCAGCTGTCCTCTTTGTGGGAGGAGCCTGTATCACTGCACAACAGATCAATATATCTACCCATGTTAGCAGAGCTGTGCTCTCTAGTGCAGGGGAAAGCTTTTTACACAGCTCTTTGGGAGGATGCAGATGATGTCTAACTGGCTCTGGGACATTGGGAGTGCTCAGAACAATGGTATTACTGAGGCTGACTGGGGGAGTCCCTGTCCCCATGGGCCCATAGCCTGGTCATCTCACTGATACAGCACACACGGGCAAACCCTACAGGCATGGAAGTGACCTCATTTCACTAACTGGACTCACAGTGCCCAACGTCCACTCACACTAACTTTTTACAACTGATCTACTAACCAGGCTACAGATATAAGGATACATTGGCAATAATGTGATATTGCATTATTAAAAGTTTCATTATACCATCCTTAACTAAGCCTCTTAAAATGCATGAGTGATACATTAAATTTACAAAAGTCTGCTCCATTTCAGAGTAATAAATATGAGGAAATTAGATTTATTAAATACAAAAAATAGATCAATAGATATTGCGTTAATAAACCATCACAGCCTTAGGTAAAACTACAATGATGCTATTCTGAGCAATATTGTGTCAGTATTTGTCATCTTTCAAAGGGTTGTTTTTTTTCTAAGAAGCACCAGAGTCGGTGGATTTGCAAAGGGATGTGTTTCCTTTCAAAACAGGAAGGTAAAGGAGGTCATGTCCTAAAACTGGTCAACTAAACGGTCACTATCTGAAGAGGCATCACTTGCTGTGTCGGGGTGTCTTCAACTGACAATTTTAGAAACAGATACTGAGTTTATGGTTAGGTACAATATGCATCTCCATTACAAATGCATTTAGTACCTTAAAACCAATTATGAATGAAGATGTTATTTATGAATTGTTAAAGGACCTGCTTTACAGCCTGATAATAATATAGTACTCTAATAGTAAGCAGCAGATGACTGGTGGACTTGTTTTTCCCATCCTCTGCTGCAGTACACTCGGGTCGATGGAGCAGTGGGCGCCTACGCTCTCCTCCCACACCCCTCCGCACTCCTCCTCAGTCTGGACCGCTGCCCAGTTTATTTGCACTATCCCAATCTTGAGTTTGTCTGCTCTTTGTAGTTTTCCAATACAGATATCAAAGCCCTGATTGCTCCCATAGTGAAATACATGTTCAATAGAGTGAAATCAAAGAAAGCACAGTGACCCTGACTCAAGAAGGATTTTGAACCACATGCACCTTTTAGCCCAAAAGCAGAGGATGCTGTTTAGTCTCCTCCCTGGAGACTCATATCCCTCTGCCATATTGATCTGAGAGCAGAGTGAAAGCTGTGGAATACTAGAGAGCTCAAGCCAAGGTCAGGAAAGGTTTGAAATCTTAGATCAACTATAATTTCTCATAAAATAGAGCGGATTTGTGGAAAGGAGTGTGCTGTTGAATTAAGAGTCTGAGATTTTGTCTTATATATTTGTTGTTTGCAGATTCCAGGCTTCATCACATCTCGCGCTCTGTGGGAGCAGAGGCCCCGGGGCCCTTAGCCCCTGTGTCAGGGGACCGTAAGTCTGTGCCCATCCACTCAAGCCAGCCACTGCTCTTCACCTTTGATGTGCCTGCGCGCCCTCTGTCCAACAGCGCCCCCCAGGACTACCTCCTCCTGCACCAGTGCATCAGCAGGAAGACAGAGAGTGCACGGTAACATCACAGGCCCGCGTGTCCTGTCCCCGCTTCCTCTTATCTTTAATACAGGTCAACATCCACGTTGGGCCGTTTCCTCAGCCAAGACCCTATGGTCCAGTCATGGGCTCCGGAAAATCGGATTCACACAGTCCGTGGAATTTTACTGACATAGAATTTATTACATTCATTTTAGTTGATAAGTAAAATATATGTTCATGGGTTTAAAACCACATTGCATTAGAACATTAAGTAAGTCAATAATACAACCATATAAATCTGACAATACTTAACAAGTTTGTAATTAAGTATTAGTAATTTATCTGAAAAGATAAAAGTAAATTCAAGTGGACATCATGTTACAGTTGCTACAATAAAAAGCTAAGTAATGTAATACTTAAAATACCATACATTCTTAAGTGTGTGTAACAGTAAGGTACAGTGAATTTGTGAATTTTAGTCTGGACCATAGACTGTATAAAGAAGTGGCTTAAGGGAGTTTGATGTCACCTACAGCGTTTGGCTCCAGTCAAACGAAGCTCAGTTATAGGAAGAAATTTGGAGCCGAGTTCCTTATTAGAAATAGGAATTTATTTACGAACAAAATAGCAAAATAAATACACCAGGATCATATAGAGCAGGTCAGTATGAACATTTTAAGACCAGAATCATGATCTTAAGCCTCACTGCAGCAGTTACAGAGAGGGGGACAATTTTTCAGTGTAAGGTCTATTGGAGCCGGAGTCAATGGAGTTGGAAGCGCCACTATGGTCGCTTCCCATTTAGCTAGTGGGTTAGTTATGTCCATTTATATATACAGTCTATGGTCTGGACCAAACCAAAGATAAAAGCTGATCTATAAAGCTTAGTTTGTAGTGGAGGAGGATGTACCTGTATTAAATGTTTCTATCAGGATTCAGCTCAACTCCTATAGCCACTGCTCGGTCCACAGTCCTCAGGCTGCTTTAGTAATGATGCCATCCAGCAGATAACGGCACAGTAGATGATCAATGAGCTTGTCCCTGTAATTCATCACTCCTATAGGTTTAGACTGGCCCCCAATATGGCTGCCCTCAGCTACATGATTTGCACATAAATCTGCTGCATAGAACCTTGGCAGTGTACAGCCAATAAGAACACTCTATCCTTCTCTTCAGCTTTAAGTAGATATCTGTCACTCTCCCAGAAGCCCCTCTCCTATTACTGTTAATTAAGATAATCCTCTAATCCAAGTGCCAGTCATTTTAGAGGCTGTGGAAATTTGATGGACATTGGTGTGAAACAATGTATGGATGCTATATTGATTGATTAATATCTGAAAGAAACAGGAGAACTGATGAAATTCTGTGTGCCATTTGACACAGAAAAGAGCAAACCATTACATCAATACTATCGGCATTACAGTGCTATATTAGCCATTTAAATGATCTAGATTTACAGTGTGATGTATTTGATGCGTAGAATATAAAATTCTACATTTTTCTTAAGAAAATGGCTCATTAGAGATGGCTTATCTTTCGCTGACTATTTTGGATCATTGCACATCTAAGTGGATCTGATGTTATAAAATGTAGAATTGCTGTGGTTGCCACTCAAGGTCATGTCCTACAAAGGAATCACAAGAAATGAGGCATGTCCCGAGGGTACTGTACTGAGACTGACAAACTGTGGGAAAGTCACAGGCCTAGAATAAGTGCCACTTTCTGACAATATGTGAACAGGCAACTGCAGGCTTCAAAAACCTTAATTAGTACTAAAGTCAGACGCTACACTGGAATTGTGGCGTTGTTTTTCCTATTAGCGTCTCTCAACGTTAAGCCTGTGTGAAGGTCCACAGTGCCCCCTTGTGGATAATACAATTATTGTAACTAGTGTCACGTATACATTACTATACCTTCACGTAATTTCCGTAATTTTTCCATCTCTTTAGAATATGTACCTTTTTGTCACTACACATACATCTATTATTGATAAATTTATGTTTACATTTGAATTTTGTACATTTAAAAATTGACTCTTGTGAGCTGTTAGAATGTTGTTACCTCTTCAAAATCATACCTGGTTGTGTTTTGTTTCATTCACACATGTTTGAGTTATTAGTCTGTCTGTATCTCTAAAGATCAAAATGCTCTGTTACACCTTGTGATGATATGAAGCGGGAGTTTTCAAGTTAACAGCTACCCTTTACTTTTAGTTCAAGAGAGTTTTGTAATTCCAGGGCTGAAATCATCCAGATGATTCTAGTGACGGTGTATGGAGTTTAAAAACATAGTGGAGCTCTTCCTTCATTTCCTCATGACATCACAAGGTGGAACAGAGTGAATTCAGCCAAATATGTATGTTTTGTGTGTTAAACATATGTCAATAAAACAAAACACAACTCCAGGTATGTTTGTGATGATAAAACAGCATAATATATGCTTTTTATTCAGTTTTTATAATACCTTAATTGTCTTGTATTGACATTTGTCTCCACTTTTGCAGGAGTGCCAGTTTCTCTCAGAGTATGCGCCACAACAGTAATGTGTTCATGGGCAGTGACACCGCGGTGCAGAAGTTGTCCCATGGCTTCTCCCACTGTCTGAATGGGATGGGAGGCCAGCTGCACGGGTTCTACAGCCTCCCCAAACCAGGCAAACATCATCCACTCCCAGACTCCCCTCAGGAGGCCTGCTACGTCCTACCGCGTGGCTACAGCTCTGAAGCCCCTCTCCATAGTAACTTTAGCGAGCCCGACCTGGAGAATGAAGAGGTGTACACTTTCCAAACTCCATGCAACACACTGGCCACTCTGCACAGTAACGAACGCGCAAATGACAACTATGACCTCCCCACCACGCCTGGATCCTTCTACCAGATCCCTCGAACATTTGATAAGAATCATAACGCCTTAACGCCGTCCAGCTCCGAATCGTCATGTGCTCCTCCTCCCAGGCCCCCCAAACCGAGCCAGGGGTCCGAAGTGCCCTGGGGCAGTCCGCAGTCTGTTGGAAGCCATAATGGAGATGTGCCGTGTGCAGTGTCCGTCATCCCCCGCAGGAACACTCTACCAGCTGTGGAGAACATCCGGCTACATAGAGGTACAGCTTGTCCAGAACAACACATCTTCTACAAATAATGCTTATTTTTTTACCAAAGACAAGATGTGCCCGTTGACCAGCAGGGGGTTTGGGTAGTTTGGGTATTATGTCTGATTTTATGAACGGAAGAAGGGAACAGTTTACTAATACCTATACTATCAAACTGTAAGAAGAGTACAAAACATGCATATTTAAATAGAGGTAATGAGATTCATCTTAATAATAATGCATTAGTCTTATATAGTGCTTTACCAGATACGTTGAAAGTTGCCTTACATGTTCCTGCATTATTCATTCCATACTCATAGTGCTGGTAAGCTACTCTTGTAGTGTGCTATTGTACAGCTGTTCTGAGGAAGACCAACTGCAAGGCTGCCGGTTTGTGCCATCGGCGCCTCCTACCACCAGGTACCACCAAGAGCACAGTGCCCCACTGTGGCATATGGTGTTCCTAGCACTCATCCAAGTACTAACCAGACCCAACCCTGCTTAGCTCTTGAGATCAGACAAGATCATGTCTGTTCACATTCTGTTCACAAGATCATTTGTTCACATTTTTCAACATATGCCTGGATAGAAGAGCTATAATTGTAGAGGTAAAATGCTGCAATAAAACTACTCTCCAAAGTACAATGTATTCCAGTGTTATGAAACTAAACATAACTCATTACTGCCCACCTGTGCCATTGTCTAGTGCTGCTGTGGTGACTTTGCACTTCTCTCCCTCTGTCCCTTGTTTTACTGATTTATGGCTCACAGCTGAACTGAAACAAAGGAGCCAGTTGGGCAGACAGTGTTCTGTTGAGGCACTAATGAGACTCAACCCATGCAAAGTGCTGCAGCGGCATGCTTCATTCCAGACAGATAAGCAATTAAAAACTTTCTCATAGACACAATACGTGACCCATTTGTGTTTGGGGTTTTGCTGCGCTCATCCCTGGGTTTCACACACAGACCAGGAGCTGACCTGTGACTCCTATTCGTGAAGTTGGATGCTGTTGACACACCTGTGCTGCAGACTAATTATAGCGCAGTCAGCCATGTAATGAAAAGTCAATCACATGCTGTTTGTTTAATTGGAAACATGATTTAACTCCCCGAAATGTCAGGCATCTCATTTGCAGACGTTATTGCGGTCTCAGAGTAGGCCCAGTGCTGTGTAATGCTCTATTTGATTTGTTGAGCTGTTTACAGTCTGCTTGTGGCACACCTGAATGCTGATGATTATTTTCTTCTCTTTCCCCAGGTTCCTCCTTTGAAACTAACAGCCATTATCGTCACACACATTTCAATAACTCAGGCCAGTCTGCAGAGTCTGTCCTTCCAACTAGCTCCTACCTGGTGAGTATGTCTTCCAATAACACCTCCGAAATAAGTATTCTTTGCCTCAGTGGCCAAACTAATCTAGTATCAGATGTAGATTGTACATACAATAAATGCGTGCAATAATTCATGTTAATTGCAGGGTACAATAGCATCTCTTCTTAATACAGTTGCAGTAAATCCCTTAATTGAGATTCATTAAGTTGTCATGCCAACCTATGCCAGGGTAAAGGAATACTTTTGGAATGACTTTGTATACTTCTCCTTTTCCTCCATATGCAGAGAACCAAAGCTCCCCTGACCCGCTCAGACAGTGGCAACTCTGATGACAACTACGTGCCCATGAATCCTGGCTCGTCTCCTCTGAGTGCTGCCCAGGCCGACAGCCCTAAGAATATTTACATTCCTATGAGCCCTGGGCCCCATCACTTTGATTTCCCAGGATTCTCTGCTACATTACCAGCCCGCAAGGGCAGCAGCGCCTCCCTGTGTCAGAGGCCTGGCCGCCTCAGTGATGTCACTCCACCACCCATCAACCGCAACCTCAAACCCAACAGAAAATGTCCGTTGATTCCTTACACTTTTACACGCTGCTCTTCTTGTCACTTTATTAAAGTGTGTGTTGTGTTAACAGCAAAGCCGACACCTCTAGATTTGAAGAACAATGGGATCATTGATGAGCTGCCATTTAAGAGTCCTGTCACCATGTCTTGGACTCGGCCCATGTGAGTCAAATATCAGCCCCTTATATGGGGTTACCCCAGGATACTGATGTGCACATGCTTGGGACAGATTGTTCTCTATTTGTTTGCCTTTTAATTGAGACAGTAAACTGACTGTTGTGTTCTTTCACAGGTCCGCCATGAACTCAATGTCCTCACAGCATTGTCGGCCTATCTCCACTCAGAGTATCACCAGCACGGACTCGGCAGACAGCGAGGAGAATTATGTAGCTATGGTGAGTCCCTCTAGCTGCAGGGGAGATCTGAGTACACTGTGTTCTTTGTTGTAATCATTCACTTGTATGCATGCTAAGCTCGCTGTGAGCTGTGTCTGAAAAGTGCATTCTGCCTGTATTAGCAGAACCCAGCGTCTACCTCCCCCGCCGTGAGTGGTACCAGCAGTCCAGCCCCCAGACAGTGTGGCAACGTGGACTACCTAGCACTGGACTTCCAGCCTGGATCACCAAGCCCTAACAGAAAAGTAAACACTTTCATCCGGACTAGTAAAAACAATGTTGCTTGAGTTCTCAAAAAAAAAAAAAAAAAGCTGTGTTACGTTATGTTATGTCTCTTTTCTAAATGTATTTGATAGTAGTTATAAGTACTAGCTATGTGTGTATTCCCGCCTGAGATTTACTCCTTCTGTACTTGTTCTCCACAGCCATCTACGTCTTCAGTGACCTCAGATGAGAAAGTGGACTATGTGCAGGTGGATAAGGAAAAGACCCAGGCTCTGCAGAGCACTATGCAGGAATGGACCGATGTGCGCCAGTCTACTGAACCCACCAAAGTAGTCAAGTCCTGACAATGATGTAAAAACAACATTTACAAACTCCACTCTTTAAATCTATCTCCGGTTATAGCCTTCTGTGACCTAAACCCTAGTTGGCTTGGTTTATTAATTTAACGAGTTACTTGGAGAAAAAGCCATAACCAAGACTATCCCTGTTCTTTGTAATGAGCAGGTTGCTGCTGCATGTCATTGAGAATATCAGGCCAGATGCCCTGCCAAAAATCTACATGCAAATACATAAACATTTAAAAATGTATAAAATGTACCATTCTGTTGAATAAATCCACCTTATTTTTGACTTTGATCTTTGACCTTGTCCACTTGTGTCTAGTGGGTAGTGTTTCTGGCTCTCTGTGTTTATGATGCCATAGAATCCAACTCGATGGCCATAAAAATAGTAAAAGGACCCTCAGAAGAGAGATGCTCTCAAATTCTGGCTCGCACACTGTCTTTTCACTTCAATCTGTCTTTTCTGCTGACTATAGGAGAGAAGATTATTTTCTCTGCAGGCAGTTAAACTGTTTTAGTGGTGCATGTCTGCAAGAAGAAGAATAACATGCTCACAGCCCAGTCCATTTGAAGATCATACTGTAAATACCCACTTAAACTCTGCTTTAAATTCATGTTTGTGGAGGGTGACAGTGTTATCCCCCATAGTGAGGGGTGTGTTTTCCAAGATCTCAAAAAGTTGTATGAAAAATATGACAAATGATAATCTTGTTTCAGTCTGATCTAAGGAGTTTTAATTTACAGTAAGGTAATGTGCAATGACAAGATGACCAAGAAGTTTTACATATGAATTTATGTCTTCCTCCCATTATTTAAATGTCTTATTAAGTATTTCTGCCACTCAACATCGTCAGAGTAAACCCAGTCTAATCTACACACATCACTACAACCCATTTTTCTGTATGACCACAGTTTGAGCAACAGCCAAACACAATCCTGGACACGTTTTGATGCATCGCAAAAAGTGCACTACTGTAGCATGATGTTGTACTTAAGTTGCAAAAGCAACCTGCCATAATGAAGTCATTGTGATTAACTTTAGAAAAATAATTTGTATAACTTGCATTATTTCCAAATTGCCTTATGTTTGTTGTTACCTCTATGTGTGCATTTCAAGAGGATTCTGAAGGGTATATGATGCAAATTGTGCTTTGACCACGACTAAGAAGAACTTGTTTGTATTTCTCAAGCCCAATGTTTCACTGTGGCTGGCACCACTTGTCCTTATTGAATCCTGCATGGCCATTCAAATGTATTTTGATTATTTCAGTAGAGGTTACTTCTAAATGTTTTTCTAGCATTTTTACTATGTTTTGTATTCTTTTATCATTTTTGGAAAGATATTCTTATGGAAAATTGTGAATTTATGATTATTAAATGTCCTGATTAATTTTTTTACTCCCAGAATGTTGTGATGTGTTGAAGAGGTTGGCACTCTGAGCTGCACTGGTATAGCCCCCTCTGCTGGTGAACTGTGATTTAACAAGAGAAAAGACTGATGTTATACTCTCTGAAAAGAAATGGATGTTAAGTATCTAGAGAGCTGAAGCGTATGTGTTGTGTTAGATGTGAAGTAGTCATTGGTCTGATGTACTGTATAGATCATTTTAACCACTATTATTGCTATTACTACTGTAAAGCATTTGCAGATTGCTTGTGGGTTAATTTAATAATTTATTGTGTGGTTTGTTGTTGATATTGTAAAAACTAAAAACAGTTGAAGAAATGTTATCTACTAACACTGATGTATGCAAAAGTCATTATTTTGTGAAGCAATATGACGAATGATGCCAGTGTGATGACCATGTGGTACATTTCATTTGGGATGCACACGTATTCCTGTATTATGGTAGAATAAATGTGGACAAACAATAAATCAAGGACTTAAATATCTGTCTACCTGTTTTTGTTTTTTGTTTTTGTTTTTTCTTTCACCAATGTTTAACTTAACTATAAAGAGGCCCTAGATTAACAATGCTAAAGACATAAAACAAGTAGTAAAACATAATTGTGGTTTTATTTAAAGCAATACTGCGTAACTATTTAAGAGATGTCACTTGCATGATTCCAGCTACAACAATGCAGGGGAACAACATTTCCATGGAGGCAAGAAGGTGGAAGCCCACTGTCAGGCCAAGTAGGTAGCTTTGTGGAGATGCAAGCCCAGTCAGAGAAAGGACTCATGTTTTCTGCTTCAATTTCAAAGTCAATTTTATGCTATTATAGGCTACAGTACAGTGTAAAATAAAGGAGCACAATTATAGTTTATCTAATAAAATACAATAACGGATATGTGTATGTTTTCACATTTGCGCACAATTGGGATTAAGAAGACTGCTACTCCCTAATAATTGACTGTACAAAGACACTGCAGTGTTGACATTACGCCGCCAGAGTGCAGCCATGCTTTCTGCTGCGTCCGCCTGATGCCTACTGTCAGAGGAGGAATGTTCATACAATGAACCTCTGTATACAGTCGCTATTGCCTCGGTGCACCACACGGACAAGCGATTGTCAATGGACTATTTGAGACGGTCAATCGGTTTGAGCGAAGGTTTGGAGCTGCATGACAATTATTTAGAACCAAAGTAACCGATTAGCATGGGACGAAAAACACAGTGCAAACGGATCGATAATCACTGAATGTTGTAAGTCACAAAGTTTAGTGGATTAGACTAATGAAGATTCAGCGATTTGTATCACTATTGTTAGTGAGGGGAGCGTAGTGGATGCTCTCAAAGCCGTGTCAAGCAGAAGTGCGCGAACATGTGCCAGTGTCTTGAAAGTGAAGTTGTGCGTGCGATGCTTTTGAATCATCCAGGGCATTCTCTGTAAATCCACATTCTTGTTAAAAGGAGTGCTGCTGCCGGTAGAGAGTAGTTTGGAGCTCCGCATTTTGAAAAGATTGTCGTGACGTCGTAAGGTAAATGTTTATCTTTACTTTGCTTTTAACGTTCAGCCTGTAGAAATCTGAACATACAGTTGTGCTCCTTTTTATTTTAGATTTGCGTTTCATGTGTCATAGGAATCTTATAGCCTACTTTGTGGGTATCGTGGTGCCACAAGATTTCGCACATGGGACCATAGCTGCGCACACTCATCTTGGTTTCTTCCATGCCCACATTGTGGTCCATTCTTAGCGCAGTGGACTACTTTGAACTGCTCTGGTGGGCATGGGAGAGGCGACCCCAGCCCAATCAGCCGCGGGGCCATTCGCATCAACGTTAGGGATGGGACTGGGGTCTGCTCCGGTGACCGCTGCCAGGGGCTCCGCGGTGCCACAGCTCCACAATGCCATAGTGGAGCGTCTGCGCGCCCGGATTGAACTATGCAGAAGACACCACTCAACTTGTGAGAACCGGTATCAGCGGATCCAGGCTGAGAGCACGGACCGGGAACATGAGAACACTCTTCACCTGCTCAACATCGTCCACCAAGGGCCTGGAAACCGAAAGACCAAAGGCAGCCGGGCATCGCACCAGCCACCTCCTGAGTACAACAGAACCACCGGGGAACAGAAAGGGTCCGAGAGCGAGCAGAAGGTCTCCACGCGTATTGCGGTGAGTTCCCATGAGAAAGATACGAGTGTGACATTAAGGGTGTTTGTTATATCACAAAGTGCCCATTAGTGCCATTAGTTGCGGTTGTCCTAACACAACGTCAAAGAAGACAATACCTAGAATACGCTTGTAAAGAAAATCTCATTAATGTTATAATGGTCGTGGTGCTTGTGATGCACTCATTCACACAACTTTATTTATATTAGCTCTAATATTGCATATTAAATCATAATAATAATTGAGGCAGGACATAGGACATTATCTGTTCATTTAATTTCAAATGTATGCATACTTCAGAAGTGTTTAACGTGCTGCCATAGGTTCGAGTTTGGTCCATAGGTTTTCTACCACTAGGGCCACTTTAGGGGATTTCCAAACCTCACAAACTATAACTATTTATGCTCTTCTTCATGCCTCAGGACTCCATATATTATAGTTAATGAATGGACAGTTATATACTCTTGAAAGTACACTATTGACTGTTGACCGTCTAGAAGCCATTGTTATTACAGAAATATATAGCCAAATATGTTTATTCAACCAGTACAAATGCTAAGAGCAGAAAATTAACATTCACTACAGCTTTAGGAGGCTTTTAAATGCTTAAATGATGCTTAAAGTGGTAAGCCATGTGTTTTAAAACATGGTAAAATGTTGTTTAGCGGAAAAGAGGGAGCAGATGTTGTAAAGCACTAAATTCCCATTAGAAGAAGTGGATTTTGTGGCATTTGCCTGCAGTGAGGTTTGACATGTGTTCAGCATCAACATCTCTATAGTGCACCTGATCCAGGAAGATGGATGTAGATTTGTCCCTACTCTTTAAAGTGCAGAAACCACTACTCCTGCAATGGTAGATAATAGTTTTAATTGCACACAATGAAAAAAAAAAAAGAAAAAAAAAAAAAGATATATATAGCATACGGTCTAGCAGTAGATGTCACATGAAAAATACTGTTACATGTATTATGAGAAGAAACTATTCACAACTAGAACTATCCTTTATGAATGCTTTATGAAGTCAAGCTTACTGAATGATTAAGTTAATGTGCCATGAATAACCAACACTTTAGTTACTTAGAATTACTTTATTGTAACATTTCCTAGTTAACATCATTCATTTATCATCTGTGAATGAAAATGTTATGATATATAGATTTTGATAACTAAGCAGTGCAAAAATAACTGCAGTACATTGTAAATCAAAAGTACCCTGTTCATGTTTTTGTATTTCCTTTTCATCAGGTAAAAAGGAGCTTAACGTCTGCTCTTTATTAAATAGGCTGTGTCTATTCTGTGGATTTATTAGAGATGCTGAATGGAAAAATAAACAGTGTCATATTTTTCCATGGTTAGCCATAAAAGGCCAGTGATGATCTGTCAGCTTGTTTGTTGTCATCAGTGGAATTATGCACCAAGTGACCTCCACCACCTGACAAGGCACTATGTTAGCTTGTGCTGTTCGAGTAGCTCACAACATACATCATATTAAGTGTATTTATTTTATATTAAAATGTACAACCATCATGTGGTCTTAAAGCATTAGGTAGTTTCAAATATCAACCCAAGTCTGATTAACTACAGTAGAGTAGTCTTTAGCAGTAGCAGTCTTTTCATCAAAAATAAATGCTGTTCTTTCTTCTGTAAAGGTACATTAATAGTAACCTTCTGGAAGTAACATGTTACCTACACGACTCCATGGAAACAAAAAAGTTAAAACTATACTTTGGAACATTCTACATAAATATTGACACTGTGTAAGATTACAGCCAAATGAACATTTCCATAGAAACAAGCATTAAGGTCCTTCCTCTGGGCCAAAAAAGAGTCACGTCTATGGAGATGCAAGTCTGCTCAGAGTAGGGACATGCTTGTCTTTTTTTAAAATCCAATAAACATAGCTAACAGGAAAAACAAAAAACTAAAGCTTTTATTTTAGTCAGATTTATTTATTTATTTATTTTTTTGGCTAAACAAGAGCATACTGTGACTTTACGTTACTAAGGATCAGCATTGTATAAATAAAAGTTCAAGTGTTCTGAGATGTTCTGGGCCAACAGCTGTAAGTAAATAGTGTTGGCGAACTCTCCCTGAACTGCTATTCATGGAGCTCATATTAATCGATCACAATTGTTTTTATGTCTCATTCAAACAAATAAAATGTCTTTCAATATTAATTTCCTGAACATGAGCAAAACATTGCCATTTAACACACAAAGTCACATTTATTTTTCCAAAGTCTGAAATCTTCTCCAAACCACATGCAATGAACACTGCTCTTTTTGGCTACTTGGTTTACACAAACAGCATGAATTATATAAGGTGAGGAAGAGGTCATGAAACATTATTATCAAAACGATTATTGTGGTTTATTGCTTTTTACTTACTTCTGTTTGGCCATGGAGTAGCTTGTCCCACATAAAAGTGATGAGCACAGCACGGCACCGGGGAGGAAATGAAGTCCGCAAACATGTTTATCAGCCCTGAGGTTAATGTTTTTCACTAACAGTGTTGATTGAATGAAACAGAACAGCCAGCGCATGCAGAAACCCCCCTTATTACAAGCACAAAGCAATCTGGCAACATCCCACTTAATTTATTCAAGAATGATTTAAGTGCACAATATCCAAAATACTGTGTGTGGGTGTTGTGTTGGTGATTATTAATTATAATGTAGTGGGTAGGAAAGTGTTTCAGGGCGAAGCTGTAGTTCACCATTGCACATTCTTTCGTCTTAAAAACTCAGCGCCTACTTACAATGGCCACATCTGTGCATGTTATATTGACTGTTCACATTGGAATTTGCCATGGAAATGTACACCAAGGCTGGGGCAAACAGCACAATGGATTATGAGTGATTTAACAATGCAGTGCTTTGAGTCCAGATTAACAAAAGATATTCTTCCAGATGAAACCTGAGAAATGGGAAAGACAGAGAGGGATGAATGAGCATTTATCCAGAAAATCACAAAATGATTCCCCTAATGCCTCCATAAACTCATTACATTTGGAAATTCATCTGATCCACAGAGATTGCAGAAATACACAATGCACTGAAGTTGCATGGCTAAATGTTACTACTACACTATTACCATTATTCCTTACTGCTGAGACATCATTGTCACTTCCATAACCATTGCTTAGAATCATTCCATTATGTTCATTGTATGTTGCTATTTATCCTACTGCTGTCATTACTTCTAGTACTACTGTTACTCTTGCTACTGCACCAATGTTATGAATGCGTTTTGTAAACAGTCATAATATTGTGCAGCAAGTTCTGAAATGTACCATATCAGAAATCACTATTCTCTCTAAAATGTACTGAAACTAACTGATTAA